ATGTTTACTTGAACTTTGCGAAAGGTCTCCAAAATGTCCTTTTCGCCTTCTTCCTTCTTTGATTGTGCAAATCTGCGAGGAAAAGGAACATTGGCAGATTAGTGTTTGAAATCACAACATTTGGAACAACATTACCTGAGGTGGACGGTTTGGAAGGTGTAGATTGCTGCGGCATGGTTGGTGCCATCTTTGTCGTGGGGTGGGATTGCTCCTCTTCTTCCAATTGTAACTTCTCATCTTCCTTGTTTGGGGCAGATGCATGTGCTTTGCTTCCCACTTCTTTTCCACTTCGTAAAATGATGGCTTTTGCAGATTCAAAACCACCCTTTGGATTGATCTCCGTAGTGCTTGGTAACTTACCACTCTCACAAAATTGTCCCAAAAATTCGGCCATTTGGCCCATTTGCTTCTTGAGCTCATTCACCTCCTTTGCTTGATTCTGCATTCCCTGCGCCATTGTGGTTAATAATTGATACGTTTTATCATCATTCATGGACATACTTGAGTTGGTTTGGGATGATTGTGCTTGAGGAGGTGGTTGTGGTGCCATTGGCCTCGGGAAGAAACCCGGGGGTTGTCGGAATCCACTTTGTTGGGCAGGTTGTTGTGCATCCCTCCATCTGAAATTAGGGTGGTCACGCCATCCCGGATTGTATGTGTTAGAGAAAGGATCACCCCTTGGTTGGTTTGGATTCCCATAACCCACGGCATGGGCAGATTCCCACCCTCCATTTTCAATTAATTGAGGGCATTGATCAGATTGGTGTCCTTGAATGGAACATACACCACACATTGTAGTTCCTTGCGGTTTGGGGCCTTCAACAAACTGTGACAACATGGACGTAAGGTTAGCCATTTGGGATTGTAATTCAGAAATAGAACTTACCTCATTGACATGATGTGGCTGTGGGGCATCTCTTTGCCCAACTCCTTCATATTGTTGTGCGTTGAGTGCGCGATTAGCAATGAGAATTTTGGCATCCATGGGTGTCTTATCCACTAGAGCTCCTCCCGCGGATGCATCCAACATTTGACGTTCAATTGGTAAGAGCCCTTCGTAGAAATATTGAAGAAGAAGCTCCTCCTTCAATTGGTGCTGTGGACATGAAGCAACAAGGGTTTTAAAACGTTCATAATAAGTTGGGAAAGATTCACCTTGGTTTTGCTGAATTCCACTAATCTTCTTGCGAAGAAGAATGATTCGTGATGTTGGAAAGAATTTCTCTAAGAAAGCTCGCTTCATACTTTCCCATGATGTGACAGTGCCAGGAGCCAACTCGTACAACCAATCCTTGGCCTTTTCCAACAAAGAAAAAGGAAAAGCCTTCATCTTCAATATGTTGCTATCCACGTTCACCGGTGTCATACTTGAGCATACGACTTCAAACTCCTTCAAATGCTTATTAGGGTCCTCCATTGATAACCCATGGAACTTGGGTATATGATGTAACAAACTGGACTTCAATTCAAATTCATCGGTCTTCTCAGGGGCTGCCCTAGGGTATTGGATGCAAAGAGGGGCTGCATTGTCCAAACCCGAGGCGGAAAACTCCTTGATGGTTCGGTTGTTTACTGCCATGGTTGGTACTTCTTCTTCACACCTTGCCGTGGGCTCTTCTTTAACCTCCACTTCTTGCTCTTTGATTTCATGTTCGGAACTAGAAGGATTAGATGCTTGTAGTTTCCTTTCTCTCCTCAAAGTCCTCTCAAAATCGTCGTTAAAGTCGAATATATTCTCACGAACAGGTTGTGAGCTACGAGTCATAAACTAGTACCTGCACACAAGAGCAAACAAGATAAGTAACACACTTAAAAGACTCGGCACAAGTAAGAAAACAATAGGCCTATACACGGCACAAAAACAAACACACACACACGGTGCAAAAATATAAAACAAAACAGAAACTAAACAAATTAAACAAGACTCAAGACAAGGGATTAGCAACTTTGCTAATCCCCGGCAACGGCGCCAAAATTTGTTGTGAAAATTACTTGACACACAAATTAAACCCTATTTGTGACAATTGTAGTAATGAAGTAAGTAGGGATCGTTCTAACCGGGGATTAACTAGGGGTGCTAAAACCTCTAAACTGACTTAGAAACAAAAAAAATAAACTTAAAAACGTTTGAAAAGACTCAAGGGACTCAAAACAGATTCACAAGACTCAAAACAAGCTAAAAACTCTCAAAACTGTCTAAAAACACAAACTGGGCAGCTTGACACTAAACTCAACTTTGGACGAAAATTAGGTTTGAGCTTGACTCAAAATGCTTCAAAACACAAGATAAGACAGATTCTAAGCCTAAGACTTAACAAAATAGGGGGGGGGATTTGTGTTTGGACGAAATTCAATTAAATGGACAGATTGTAAAGAAAACAGATTGTAAAGCAAATTGATGTAAACCAATGGATAATGGAATGGCTAAGGGATTCTTCTCCACACATGAAATATATGCAACTTAAATCAACTTCCAGTTATCGATTCGACAAGTTATGAACCTCGACACTCCAAGTTAATTAGGTCCGCTTAAATTAACCTTAAGATTTCCCTAAGATCATTGAATTGAATGAATATGCATTGCAACCAAATTATTCCTAACAAGTTCTCTATATGAACAGCATGATAAAGATACAAGTTAGAATCATTACGTTCATTGGAAATCATAAGCATCGACAAGGCAATTGTAACTATGAAAAGCATGATACTTTCGCCAGGAATCTACTTAACACGATCATGACTAGTGACCTTCACTACTTGTGGATATAAACTCATAACGATTAGGTGAAACAAATTCATATCCTAGCACCAGATTCAAGCATGCAAATTAAGTGTGCACTCTCAATCAACATACAAGAATAAGTTCTAAATCACATAGTTAAACAGATTGTATTCATGACTTATGCAACGATAACTGGAGTAATCAACTTATTTCACATATATATCCATGGTTTCGAATACACCCTTAGCCAAAAACGAATTTAGCCAATCATACTCAGAGCAAAACAGAGATTACATGAATTAGACATTGAAATATAAGAGAGAATACACCTAAAATCGTTCAACAGCTCAGAATGGAGAACCAAACAATTTTGCGCATCTGTCTCCTTCCTCTTGCTTGCGGCAGATTGGATGGGGATGAATTCTGGGACGTTTTGATGATGTAGAACGGTTTGTGGGATGTTTAGAGACACGGCAAGGGATGTAGGATGGGCGTGGATGAGTATTTGATGGTTGGGAAGTGGTGGAATGGCTGATTGTATCTCTAGGTTGAAGAATGGTGTTTTGGGGTCAATGGATGCGGCTGGAATAGAATGGACGAATTTTGATGATGAATGAGTGATGTGAAGGGTTTGTGAAATTTCTGAATGCCTTTGTGATGCTTGCAGCTGCCTTATTTATAGGGCTAGGAAGGGTTTAGAACTTAGTTGAAACCAAAAGGTTTTGTACTAGAAATTCTATACATGAAACACTTAAAGGATATATGTGTGTAGCTTGGACAAGGTAGGAGACAAGATAGGACGGCTAGTAGACAAGGTAGGACGGCTAGGAGACAAGCTAGGATGGCTAAGAGACAAGGTAGGACGGCTAATGACAAGCTAGGACAGCTAGGAGACGAGGTAGGACGGCTAATGACAAGCTAGGACGGCTAGGAGACAAGGTAGGACGGCTAATGACAAGGTAGGACGGCTAGGAGACAAGGTAGGACGGCTAATGACAAGCTAGGACGGCTAGGAGACAAGCTAGGACGGCTAGGAGACAAGCTAGGACGGCTAGGAGACAAGCTAGAAATTAGGCACCATGTGTGAATAGATAAAGCCTTCTAGAAATAAGGTTTTTAGGCCCCCTTGCAGCTCCCTAACTGAATTCAAGCCTTCAAATTCGTCCATCCTCATGCCTCCATGCTTGCACTATCCAATCTTGGCCCAAAAATGCTCTAGAATGCTCCAAATTGCTTCTTTTTGCATACTTTGACACTAAAACCTGAAATTGCACGAAAATGACTTTAAACACTAAACTAACTGTTGTTTTAGCTAATTAAATGCAAGAAAACAAGCTAACTAAGTAGCATAAATATGCTCCTATCAATGCGTTGCAAAAAGATAATGATGGAGTAGAGAGGAGGAGGGGAAACATATGTTGTTCTACTTCTTTCTCCACCCATGACGACTTTCCCTTTTGATGCTCTATGGAGGCTAATGGTTTTCCAAAGAATTCTCGGTCATTATGATACTGAGAGAAGGGAATCAAATTTAAGATTTCAGATAAAAAGATAAATACTTTTAATCATTTGAGTCCAAACTTTACCTAATTATAAACTTTTATCATTTTACATCCTTAAATAGATTACAATTCTTTCAAGCAAAATCCCAACATGTTAGGATCACCATTGAAAGCGATTATGTGACTTGCAGATGACATTAGGGCATAAAAAACGAAATACACAAACACAACCCCAAAAAAACCAAAAACTCAAAAATTCCAAAAAGTTCGATAATCAATACAACGACATGTCAATCTCTTCGTATCATCATTTATATAAAGAAAAAGGTTCCAACAAGATCACCATGACAATTCAATATTATGGCAAAGAGAAATGGTAAGATGATTCTCTCAAAAGTGGGACTCTCTATAGACTCTTTGTCACCTCACATTTTTTTCATAATGTTTTATAATATTAGTATGAAAATTGACGTTAAACTGTGATTTGATAGATAACTATGAAAAGTTCCACTTTAAGAGAGCCTCACTATCATTTTCTCTTATGACAAAAATGTTAAGGCTTAATAGGCACTTGGGGGAAAATTGTACCATGGTTAGGGAAATAATTGATTTGTCATCGGGGCGGATGGAATTTGGGCTAGCCTTTTGTTTCTTGAGCAGCACGAGTCTAGATTAAATATTTTGGGCCTTTTGATTTAGCCCAGTTAAGGCCCACTTAGATTGCTACCCATAAACCGCAACTGCCTTTTATCTTTGTCCCGTCACTGTCTGTGAACGGAACACGTTCCCAGAGTCCCAGTAACTCTTCACATCACATCGCTATTGAACGGGGTGGGAGAATATCACCACCGTCGTCGCAGACGATCAAAACCCTAAAGCGTGTGCACAAAAAACATGCCGAAAAAGATGGGTGTGAACAGCAAGGCGGAGGCCGCCAAGGCTCGGAAGAGCTCCACCGAAGCCGAGCGCAAGGAGCGCGAGACTCGCGAGAAGGACGAGCAGTACTGGCGCGAGGCGGAGGGCAGCAAGTCCCGCGCGGCCAAGAAGCGCGAGGAAGAAGCCGAGAAGCGGGCGGAGGCCGCCGCGCGGAAAGCCGAGGCCCGCCGATTGGCGGAGCTGGAGGAGAAGGAGCTCGAAAAGGCGGCAAAGAAGCCCGATAAGAAGGTCGGCCGAATCACGATCCCGGTTCCTAAGGTGACTGAGGCCGAGCTGAGACGGCGGAAAGAGGAGGAGCAGGCGGCGTTGGAGAAGAAATCGGATGAGGTGAAGAAGAAGCAGAGCCGTACGGCCGAGGAGGAGGAGTATGAGAGGATGGTGGTGGTAGAGAATAAGAATCGGGATGATTCGTTTATTGAGGCTAGGTCGGTGGAGGAGGCGGTTGCGAAGATGTCCGTGTCGGAGAGCTTGCCGGTGGATCGGCACCCGGAGAGGAGGCTCAAGGCTTCGTTTAAGGTGCGGTTTTTTTTTTTTTTTTTGTTATTGGGAGAATTTAGGGTTTGTTTGGTTAGGGGTACTGGATTACATCGGTTTCAATTTCGTTTTGGAGTAGTAATGCTTTCCTTGATAGCTTTGAAACCTAAAATCTAATGCATTCGGATTCGGAAAAGAATTGTTGTAGTTTGTATCGAATAACTGAGCTTTAGGAATTAGGAATGGTACTGTACTAGCTTGAAGCTCTGGGTGTTATTTGAGTAAGGAATCCGACTCGGCATTGAAAACATGCCATACGAAGGAATGCAAATGAAAGCCTTCTAAAAAACCGCTCAGTGTGTCAGTTGCGATGATGTTCATTTTGCTCAGATGGTCGTGATCAGCTACTCGAAGCGTCGGTGTGTATGAGTGTGCTTGATTTCTTGTGTTGGCTCTGAAATCTTAGCAGTGTGAATCGTTAGTAGAACACCTCTTTTTGGACGGATGGGTTGCCTATCCAGTCCTGAGCACTTGCCGTTTCACCATGGAGCTCAAATGTAGCTTAAAGCTATGAACTTGGGCTTTCAGAATCATTCTTTATACTCACAATCTCAGTAATTTCCAGCCAGGGTCCAATAAAAGGAATTCATGTTGCACAATGTATGTAGTGTGCTCTGTGCATAGAATTTGACATCAAACGCATGTTTTTTGTGTAGACTGACGAATGTATCTATTGAGTGATGCCTCTTATGGAACGGCAACTTAAAATATGATTTTGGTAATTGTTGTTCCTGCCCCACTTCTACAGGACAGTATTGTCATCTGCTAATAAAGTATAATGTTAATTGTTGGCGTTTCTTGAAGAATAATAATTTTAGGTGGGGATTGGTAGAAGCTAAGTCATATTCTTAGGAGCACTGATTTCTTTTGTTAACAGCCATGGAACTTTTCCAACTATGTCTTTTTAAACTTTCGTTGATAAGTCAGCCTAATCAATCTTATCTCTAGGTGTTTACTGCTTCAGTCTTATGAAATTTTGACGTAGTGATTTCTTGTGACAATTTTGTGTAATAATTGTAGGCTTTTGAAGAAGCTGAGCTCCCGAGGCTGAAGGAAGAGAAACCAGGTCTTACTCACAACCAATACAAGGATATGATATGGAAGCTTTGGAAGAAATCTCCGGATAATCCTCTAAATCAGGTTGAGTTTCGTGTCGGATATATATAGTCATTGCTTGTGTGATAATTAGTTGCACTAGTCTACCTAAGTTATATACTTTATACAAAGAACCGTCAGTACAATCATAAAATGGCAATGCCAACCTTATAATGATGTCTAACTCCCGGAAACTAGATGCTAGGGCTTACCTATGCGGTTTTTTCTGGTAAAGTAAATTTAATTTCGGACCCCGTATTTTAGAGCAGATAGCCCATGAAAAACCTGTCGCTTTGAGCTTGACTCCCGTGGAGGCATATGCACGACAACTTATTACCTATTTAGTTCGGAATGTCTCGATGAAATGGAGTTGGGATTGTTGTTTCTTCACAGTGCTTTGTTAAATATGTTGACGCATGGTGATGGCATTTAAGTAGTTAAATACATTGACGCATGTTGATGGCATTTAGTAGTTAATGGGTTTGGACTAAGCTAAAATCTATGATGTGAAGCGTCCAAGGTGATAGATGTCTGTGTTACATGTTCGGATGTGTAGAACGTTATTTAACTAGTTCAGATATTTTTGGTAACTATGAAGCTAGCCTAATTCCTACCTTCAAATGTGCAGCTTGCTGAGTGATCGCCTAACATCCTCATCATGCAATGGGCATCTGAGTTTTTCTCCTGGGTTTGTTTTGTCGATTTCATCATGTCCACCGATGTGCATTTGCAATTTGAAACGCATAAAAGGTTTCTGCCCTACTATATGTGCAATGTCCGCTTCTGGAAACAAGATCTGAATAATATGCAATCTTTGTTTGATTAGCCTAATCAACTCTCTTCGTTCGATTAGCCTAATCAACTCCCTGCATATTTTCAGAACTTTTGTTCAGATCGTCTGCTGTAAAATTGGTAATTGCTGTTTTAGCATTTCTGTCTTTTTATTTTTTGTTAGAAATCCAAAATTACCAACCCAGTTTTCTGGGACATGACAGAATGGTGGGTGTCTATCATATTTTTAGGTGGTAGTATCTTGTACTGGATACATGCTAGCGAAACAGCCAAATTATTGTACCCATGTACTGATGGTTTTAATATCGTCATTGGGACCAAGCCTTTAAAGAAGCTCTCTATCTTTTCTTTTAATATTTTTTTTTTACATTATCTTTCTGATTAGTTTCTGATTTGCAATTTATTTGTTGCTCAACCAACTCTTCAAACCCTCAACTTCTCACAAATGCGAGAAGAAAAAAGAAAGCGAAAAATTGCGCCCATTACCACGGTCTGGTTCGGTTTAGGGTTCAAATCATAATACTCGGATTGGATTGATTTAGGCCTGCAAAATATTTTACTTTGCAAGCTACTTTCAATTTTTATGTTGAGATTTTGTTACTTAATTCTTCGATACAAGTTTTCCTATGTTTCTCGAGACTTTGCACCCGATCGTTCTAACTCATAACTGGCAAGACATTCATTAAGAGAATTGTTATTAGCACTTTAAAAATCTCATTTTACACTTCAAACTTTTTATATTAGGAAAAAAAAATTCGTTTGTGAGGAGTGTAGAATGAGATTTTTAGAGAACTAATAAAACTTTCCTTCATTAATCGTAATTAATGTTTATTTTCTGTTCGTCTATACAAGAAATTGTATTCTTAATTAGATAATCTTTGTTGACTTATCATATGATTAATGTAAAACCATTTTCGTTATTACATATTGTGTTTCGCAGAAGCATAAAATTTAAACATCTGCTTACAAACTTGTTATTTCAACAGTCAACTTCGATTATTGTCTTCTCTACGGAGGCAATTATTACTTCATAATGGTTACTCACTGCTATTAAGCCTTGGCCAACTGAGCAAAATTAATCGGGGTTACGAATTCTGCTCCACCAGTGTAGAGGGTTACGGCTGCTAACTTGGAAGCAGCCTGTGTTGGATGAAATAAATCCCAGAACAAGTAGTTGTCGCGATTCGAGCAAAGTTTGGCACTTGGAATGCAGAAGGATTGAGCGTTGAGCTTCCCAGCTCCGCAACATGCAGCTTCCACCTGCGTAAAATCTGAAAAATGGAAAGGAAATTTGATAGTAATTAGATCGCTCCTTTTCCTTCACGTCCTAGTTGCAGGTCCTAGTTGCAGGACCTCGTTTGCTAAATGTAAGTTGTTTGCTAACTATTTTCAAAAGTTCCTAAATACAGGGTTTTGACACTTGAGTGCAACGCATATTTTGTGAGATAAAATTGGTGAATGAGAAGGGGGAGCAAAAGAAATGAAAACGACGACTGAAACATGAAATTGATTTTAGAAAGATTCAAAATTTGGCTTAATTTTGAAGTCAGTATTTTGTTTTTATAGAAACTGAAAACAGAAATCTGAACGAAATAGTTATTAAAGGGGGTGTGAGAAAATGTACTAAAATGAGAAATTACTGAAGTAGGTATTGACTTACTGAATGGCAAAGGATTCTGAATGACATTTATTGTCATTTCAAATGCATTCCCAATTGCATACTTGATGTCCTTGCATTCGGAGCTGAGCTTCAACATTAGAGCATCCAACCTTGCATGGAAAGCTTTTGCAAGCTCGTTCAAACCCTCCAAACATCCGCCGGTAGTGTTGTGAATCCTTTGAGATGGGCAGCATCCAATGGGGGCAACGCTAATGATGCCAAATTTCCTCGCTCCAAGGTCGATTAAGCTCTGCCATGTCAACAAAGGGCTCAGCTAAACTATGAAACTTGTGCATTTGGGTTTAGGGTAGTGCTAAGCATAGAGGAAAATATCACCTTCAGGTGGTTCTCATAAGCAAGCATTAAAGAAGATAAGAACTCTTCCTTTGGAATGGAACTGTTTGAGTGGTAATATCCGAGAAGGTCATTGCTGCCGATGCTGATGAAGAACAAAGACTTATTAGTTACTCTCCTCCCCCCTTTTATGGCGGTAAGATTTTTCTTGACAGTGGCAAATTGTTGTATCTGCTCTGTTAATGACACAACATTTTTTTGATTACCGGATGGGGCAACAACCGGAGTTTTCACTGGTGTTCCAAACTTCATCAGAGTCAGCTGAAACAAGAAAATGAGAAAACTGTTCAAAAAAAAAAAAAAAAAAAAAGTTTCTTTCCTACATCTCATGCATATGATGATAACAATTATCTTAAAAACGTACCGATGTTTTTCCAGTTTTGTCAAGAAGGCCTGACCCTCCAGACGCAAAGTTCGCACCACTAAACCTCTTCTTGCGAAGAGACATGGCGTTGAGAGAAAGAAAAGGCGGCGGACTTCTCTCGCGACCAAGCATCTGAGCTATGGTCACCACAAGAAAAGCAATGATTTATGTTAAGCTTTGTAATCCATGCGGGGATTAGAGTTCGTTCTTTTATTGTTATGTCATTACATAATAAAGATAAAGAAACGAACGCCCTATCTTAGTGAACAATCAAATACACTAACCAAGAAAATCAGCACTATTGAGGCCATTGCTGAACCTTCCAGTGGGTTTTGAGCAAGGAAAGTCAATGCCATTATGAGGAAAGTCAGCCCTAGCCATGCTGGTGGGCAAGAAGTTATTGGTTCCAACGTCAGCAGTTGAGTCCCCTAGTACGAAGATTAGTTGCAGACCTGGGTCTGATGCACTAACAACAGCCACACATAGGACCAGAGAAAGAACAACCCATGACTTGTTTGCCATGGGAGATTAATTAAGATGTAGTTAAAGAACAATTAATTTAATTAAGCAATCTGTGTATCAACAAGTTTTATGTTTGAGAACAAGCTTCTAATGGGAATTTATATGCATGGAACTGATTTAGAGTTGGCATACCTATGGCCGGTTTGAGCATTGATCAAATATTTAATTGCTTCGTTAAGTATTTAATAACCATGAACTTAATGTTAAATATGATAAGAACTATGATATCCTTCTTTTATTAATTACTGATCACTTTGTAAACACATTGGTACTAAACAAATTTGGTTGTTTCATTAGTGATCGCTTTGTAAACACATTATACTAAATCAAAAGTTTCCTGAAAAAACAAGGAGGCTGACCTGTTTATTTGTCCTCACCAATTTGCAATTAATTAATTTTTTTTCATTCTTTAATAAAATAACTCCACAATATGTTTGTTCCCCTTGGCTTCTAATACATGAAGCACAAATTAATTACATGCCAAATAATTAAATGAAAGCTGCATTTTATTGCCAAAGTACAAATGTTACAATTTATGTGGCAAAGAATGTGACTAATTTATAAATTGCAATGGTTAATCAAATTTTTGTGTAAAATCATCTGCAGCAGGTTGTTGCTTAAGGACTAGTTGTTCTGCCGGCAGCCCTACCACAAAGAAGGGCATTTCTGGGAATTGGGTACTCATCCCTAGGTGACTCCACAGGCGAGTAAACTCGAAGGTAAAATTGTTGTCCAAGGTATTGCCTTGCCCAAAACTCACTCCTCACGTTCCACATACCAACGTTGTCCAATGCAATGTAAATTGCAGTCCATGACATTGGATACACCTGTGACATATTCAAACCTGACTTTAGTCACATTTGTAAAACACGAATTATTGTGTGTGCTAGTTATATAAAATTTCAGTTACAGGATATGAATGTCAGTTATATTTGTTATGTGATAGCGTACCCTACTTTCATTTATATCTTTAAAACTCTCATATATTCATCCTCATTTACGGTTTTACTCTCGTTGGATCAGTTTTTGACATCAGTAGGCGACTAATTACCTGTGTGGTACTTCTTGACACTGCATCTCTAAGGTTATATTCGTTCCGACTAGCCGGTGTCCATTGACCTCCATCCATTCTGAAATTCAAGTAAAAATGTGAGAGTTAGTAACCAACTTTACCATCTTCAAATTCATTGTATTCATAACATACTGCAGAATTATATCATCAATTTACTTACCCAACAACCCAGAAGGAGTAACCATCCAAGTGAAAGCTTTGCATAATATTTTCTTTGTTCTCAAACACAATCTCAACAAAAGCCCTAAAATCAGCACCCATGACTGAAGTGTCAAGGTACATGCTTTGGCCAGTCGGATTATCTGAGATGCTTCCAACCTTGAAAACTCCATCAATCTTGAAGTGGTCTGCAAGCTTCAATGGTGTGTCAGCTGGGATGAAAGATACACTGTTCACTGCATATCTTTGCTTCCCACTTACTTGAGCTGCTGAGCTCTGTAGCCTGATTGTTCTGCTCACATTCACAAGACCATAGTGGTAGGAGCCTTGTGGGTTTGGTCTTGGTCCACTTGCTGTCAAATTAGTCCTGAAAATTGTATAAAATTTAAACGTTAAATCGGTGTACAACAACTACAAATGAAGCATTTAATTTTTTATATAGGGGATTCGAACTCTAAATCTTTTTAAATGAAACATTTCACTGATCGGATACTATAGATTGTAGATCATATACTTGTATATATCTCTAAAAAAGGTAAGACTTATAGAGATAGATACAATTTTGTAATTTTAAACATAAAATAGATTGTAGATCATATACTTATACGCATCTCTAAAAAAGTCACATACCTAATGGAGCGGGCCTGGCTAATAGACCAGTCAGTTTGGGTGGGAGCACCAGGAATTGGGCCTGAAACTTGACTGGCAGAGTTACTGTAGTGAAAAATTGCAGTGCTGGTGAGGACCGTGCTGGTAAAACGAGTTGAAACAGCAATGTAGTAGTCCTGAGGGGCCTGATCTGCTGTGACGAGAACAGAGTAGGATTGACCCACGTGGATATCAAGCGAATCGTAAGTGGTCTGGAGAGTGTGGGTCCCTTCAACCTCAACCAGCTTCAATGTGTGTCCCTGAATTCTGAAGTTCAGAGAGTTCTGGAGCCCAACGTTTGATATTCTAAGCCTGTAGGTTTTACCTTGTTCAAATGTGAAAGTTGTGCCACTTGGTCCACGTCCATTGATTATAACACCATCTGGGAAGGCAAGCCTGTGACCACGATCTAGAATGGTCTTTAATACCTGCAATATTAGGTTAAAGAATTTGATCAAATTACAATTTCACTTCACCATATTGTAAGTAAGAAATAGTTACAAAACAGGTTTATTTAATCGGTTGCGCGCGGAAGTTCCAACTTGCTCTTAGTTTGGTAGTATTTTCATTCGCAGTATTGAAAGACGTCGTAAGTTTGAATCTTCATTACCTTGTGATCAGTCTTGTACCAATCTCCAATAAGAATGGAGTAATCTCCAGCTGGTTCCGGGAATGGGACTGGGATCAAGGGCCTGCTGAGGATTTTAATGGCTCCAAATCCACCGGCTGCTTTGTGGAAGGCAAGAGATGGGAAGTAGTAGAAGCTTCCAATTTGGTCCTTCACTTGTAGTGTGTAGGTGAAGTTCTGGCCTGGTGGGATAGCGCATGTGGTTCCATACACTCCATCTTGGTACGAGTTTCTCCTTTGTTGCACTCCGTTCCTGTTTCAAGTTTCCCGTTGACCAATTTAGTTTTACTTCAAAGTTATTTTACTTCAAAACTCTAGAAATAATTCTTAACCCTAAATCCTAACAAGCTGGACTTATTTTACGACTAATTATGATCTTACTGTTAAGCATTGTAAATCCTATATGTACGTATTTATAATTAAAATTCATAGTTCTCACACATGCATGTAAACAACTGAGCTTAACACGTGAACAACTTAAATTCCAATTTTACAACCAATTAAAGAACGTCCAACAAAGGGTAGACAAGAGGGAAGTGGGTACAACATGTTATGAGTTCTCGACTCTTGAAAGTTGACCTAATCCCCGCAAACTGGAAAGAAAGAATTTGGAAATAGTAAAAGCTACTTTCCCCATTGCAGTTTCACACCATTAATTTTTATAATTAGAGGAAATAGTCAATAAAAGTTCCTAGTGAATTTGGTTTTCCTGATCAAAACAAAATAAATGCGTGATGTCCAATTGCAAATGCCCACAACAAGCCCGCATATAATATGATTGTAAAATATTCATGTCATGTTGCACTTGTCATTGTCCACTCACATGTAAAATTACGTGATAATTATGCTTATGTGACATATAATCGTATAAAATTCAAATTAACTAAAGAAAAATAGTATTTGAACGAAGAATATATACTACACACTTTTTTTGACTTTTTCAATAAAAAGCCGGCGATTTGACAGATGGAATTCTGGAGATTACATGATAAAGGTTACTAGTCAAGATTTAACTATAACATTTTTGTTCGTATACGAAATATGTGTAAGAATATTTAGTTGCCATGAAAGTGACTGAAAAAAATCCTTTAATCCCATTTTATGAGAAAATACTTTTTCAACTTAATAATTAATTAAGGAAAAAAGATAACAAAATGTCCAACAAAAAAAAAATTGACAATTGGCCAGAAAAATAGAAAAGAGAAAGTATAATATAGAGTTGGAAGAAAATCCGACCATGAAATGAGGAAGGGCTCCGGCAAGCTGTTGTGGACATTGATAATAAGGTTGTCATTGGTGACGGAATAGATTTCCGGCCCCGGAAACTGACCATTAATAAGAATCCCCTGCAACAAAAGTTGAAATTTACACAAATTAGTCATATAAAACATAAACATTTTATAAAAATATGATCAAAGATCATGATCACAGCACAGAGAACAAGTGTGTGAAAATTGCAAACCTGTTGACGAACTCCGAGCGGATATATGTCACCATAAGTTACATTCCAATCGAAGAACCGGTAAGGATCCTCGGCACTCACAAGACCCAAAACCAAAACAATGACAGCTAGAAATTTGAGCAGCATTTCGGAAGAAGGTGGCAATGATCGACGAGCGAATTGAAGAAAAAGAATAAGAAAGAAGAGAAATCGGAAAAAATGAGTGCTCGAGAGCCTAGTCCAATTACAGAGAAGGTTACGAAAGAGACACTTTAATATGCTGAGAGGTAACAGTGGACGACTTATTTATAAAGAGCGAGTGAGCAAGCAAGCGAAGGTCCAAAACCAAAACGAGTAGCCGTATAATATATCACTCAAGTGGTGAAGGGCCCACATGGCAAGTCCATGTGTGAACCAATGGAACTGCCCCACGTAAGAAAATGTGCAATTTTGGGCTGCTTAAATGACTAGAATGCCCATGTCTAGGTTGGGACTTGGTTGGCGCCCTAACCGCGTAAAAGTTTTTATTCTTCTGCATGGCTGGCTGGAGTGAGTGGGGATGCCCGGGAATTCTGACGCGACACACGGCATTTTCATATGCTGAAAATTTTCTGGCTTACCAAACAGAAAAGAACAGAAAGGGTTGTGTGTTGGTGTGGGCGCAAGGAAAAGGAAACAAATGGTGGGAAATATTTTTTAATTGGATTTTACGCGGAAACAGATATTTCTCTTGCTTATGGGACATTCTAATTAATATTATTCTTATTCTTGCTAATGAGTGTTACCTTTTTGGATTTTTCCTTAAAAGCCTCTGAAATACAACAACCGTGAAGCTTCCGATGGATTTCTTCTTTCTTCTGGGGGAAGGATTAATTAGTGAACGATTATGTAGATTGTGTTTGGATGCTAGCTGCTCTGAAGTTATAGTAGACAGAGAGGAAATTGAATGTTGGAATCCAATAATTTTTTCTTTTCTTTTACTTGCCTTGTTGATATAATACATTCACATTTGTACATGAAAAAAGTCGGATTGCTTTTTAAAGTTAAGATTAAGGAGAAGTCTAACACGTGAATAATATATATTCGGTGATGTTAGAGTATGTAAGGCGTTGGACTCAACACATGTGTTAACATGCATGCTCAAACATTACAAAAAAAATATATTGAAAAGTTCTACCATTAAATCAATTGACGGTATTGGAAAGGGGGGACTCTTTGTTTATGGCTATCGAATTAAATAAATCAAACGAAATCAACGATAATCATCAAACGTAAGTGTAAAAAAACTAAAAAAAAAATGTGTGAAAATCACTTTTCTATAGAAAATAGTTCAACTTCAATATATAATTAAGCACATGCAAATTCATTTAATCCCGGGTACAAAATTCACTCTTTAGCAATTTGACCTTTTATAAGAGAAAAAAAAAAACAATTTAAATGTCAATGGACTGAGTTGATTGGAGAGTAGTTTAATGTTTCTAGATGAACTGGCCGGTGTATTGCATCACGAAAAAGTCTACGTCCATCTGGCATGTGATCATGGGTTGTTATACAGCCGGCAATGGACTGATGACTTTCATTTTCTATGGCATAAACCACGATTTTGACACAGTTGTGTTGGCAACTAGTTTTACGTGCTTACGGCGTAGGGGGTTTGTACAGAAAGGAGCCCGGCTTTCTGCTTGATTCGCATCTCTCTTAACATTGCTTCTGTGAAAAGAAAACAATACTTCTGCACGTTGATTGAGATTCGATCGCTTACAAAACAATGCAACGTTTCTTAGTGGAAGTAAGAGTAAGAAGGGCGTAATGTAGGGGTCCGTATACAAGCAACCTTACACAATTAAATTGGTAATTTATAATTTGTAAGGACTAAAACATCATAGAAAATAATTTCTAATTTTTTTTTGGGTCGAAGGAAAATGTATTCTAATTTGTATGATTAGTTTTTAACTCTCGCCATGATAATAAAAGACCAAATTTGACAAAACTAATAATATTAATATTATTATTTATACAAGTTTCATTATACGAAGGAGCAAGCAAATCAAATTTCCAATATAAAACGTATGTGGTCCAATATTCTAGTGGATAGAGTGTTAGGTTTCTACTCATGCCTCCCGGGTTCAAAACTCCCCCTCCCCAAGATTATTGTAATAGTTTTGCATGTGGTCCAACATCCTATTGGATAAGGTGTTGGGTTTCCACTCTTGCATCTTGGGTTCAAAACTCTCCCTCTCCTAAATTATTGTAGTAGTTTGAACCCCTCCTCCTCTCCTTAGTAATAATAATTTAAAAAAAAAAATTCAACTATAAAAATGGCCCAATGCAAGTAATAAAGTTTCCCCAAAAACTCTAGCAGTCTAAAGCAAAAACCAAAGAAAGCTTATTTGCAGTCGGCCCTTGCTTTGACTTTGGGGTCGGTGGCAACCTTCTTGAAAATCATTCTTGGTCTCTTTCAATTTACTTTGTTTGGTGTAGAATTGTAGCCATGAAATACTGTAGACAACGTGATAATCATTGTCTTTTTGTCCACTTACATTGTAAACACAAGGTTTGGATCCAACTATCACCCTCGATATAGCATTGAAGTTGGAAGCCATGGAAGATGTTGAATTGTGTCAGAATTGGATTTAGCCAGAACAACACTATGTGTTTTGCCAGTGCGGTGATATGGCTCTCAGATGTTGGGAGGATGTGGAGCAACGACATTATTTTATCCTTTTATATATTTTGTTTGTGTCTTATAATTTATAAGAATTATCTTGGAGTTTGGTTTTGATTTCTCTCTTTAGAAGAGTTTGCTAGTTGGATTGCTCTTTATAGGAGAGTTGCTTGATTTTAATTTTTGTTTTTGTGTGCTATCTCTTTTGGATCTATGTGTAAGGGTGGACCTGTTTAATTTGCAGGATCTACTTCATTTGGTGTTCCAGGATTGTGGCAGCAATATCAGGTGATGTGATCTACCCATGGGCATTGTACTCCTTGTCCCAATATATGATTTGAGATTTTGTTCTCACATGATCTCCTCGTAACATGAGATTTAATGCTTGTATTGGTTGTGTAAATTTGTAGCTCTAAATGAGCTGGGATGAGTGCTTGAAATCTTCTCATTGCTTTGCAATTAATGATCCTTTATTGTAATACTTTTAGATTTAATTTGTAGGGACCCTTTGAGGGGCGAATTATTCATGATATGTATTTGTAATGTCATTTTTTTTTCATTGAATGAAATATTGTATTTTTTTTTTCAAAAAAAAAAAGGGCTTGATGCAAGTAATATAAGGGATCATATTTACATGTCAAAAGGAAATGTAAAGAGTTTTTTCATTTTTTTTTTTTAAAAAGGGGACAACTTGTGGCAAACCACGGTTATCCACCTTTTTCGGGGGTCAAGAAGACTCACAAAGGCATTTCAGCCTCCCCCTGGCCACAAGTTTGGCTTCCATAATAGCAGCAGGTTTCTAACCTGAGACCTCTAGTTTTCAGTTTTAAGGAAGTCTCGTAATCCGCCCTTTACCACTGGGCTACCAACTAATGTAAAGAGTTAGCTAGCGTTCTTTGCGCGTTTCACTTCTCTAAAGGTCCTATTAAACGGGGTTAAAAATGCAACCATTAATGGGCTTTATTAGTATTGAAAAGTAATGGGCTTATCAGTTTAACAATTGGGTTAAGTTTGAACCTCAACTTTTAGTGTCAAATTTGAACCTCATAAGCAACACATGAAAACACCAACAATGTCCCACTCTCACTCCAAAGCAAGCAAAAGCAACCCATGACACATGGATTGATGGGGTTTCTTATCCTCAATCTTTCCAACACTTACCACTATCCAAAACACTCCTTAGAGCACTACCAATGAAAGTTCATTCACTCCTCTAACAACCACCACCACCAAAACTCCATGGATGCTCTCTTCGTTAACTAGTACTCCATCTCCGGCCTCAAACACTCCCCAAACCTCACCACCACCTTTTCCTTCCTTCCCCAATCCTTACACCGCCTTAAATTCACCATCTACACTGCCACCAAGCCCACCACCTGCACAACCGTTTTCGTCATCCATGACCAACAAGGAATCCAATCCATTGAAGCCCAAAACCCACTTCATCTCTCGGATGACAATGAAGTTGAAGATATCAACGAGTCGTACAACAAAGTAGACAAAATCATCGAAGGTAGAGTGTTGAAGGGCATCAAGGGAACACAATACTTGATTTCCTAGAAAAAAGGCTATACGCCGTCGTGGGTCCCATCAGATTCCAAAACCAAGGATATGATCTCCAAGTATGAGAGCCTGTGGTGGACCGCTGCAAAAAAAAGCTGACAAATATGCACTAAACCAGCTTATAGCATCTGAGAACGACTCGCGCGACGCCGTGGATAGGGACAACTGCACGACTCTCATATTCATCTCTAGTCTCGGGTTAAAGTTGTGTGTTCGAGTTTTAACCGAAGCAAGTGCCAACTTGGATCATAATGATAACTGCGGGAGATTGACCGTGTTGCACATGGTGGCTTATTATGTTTGGCCAGGTGTTGTGAAATTATTGGTGCAATGGGAGCGAATCTCGAGGTAGAAGACGAGATAAGACGAAAGCTGTTGGATTTGGCTAAGGAGATACTCAAAACAATGGCATAGGGAAACTTGATTCACTTCGCAAGGTGGTTGAGGTTGAAGAGTGTGCTTACGAAGTTGGAGGGGGTAATATTTGAGGCAGGGCTCGAGTACGCGGTGGCAAAAGGGGTCGTGGGGAAGAGAGTCAGGGATAAGGGGAAGATGGTGACACACCTCGATCCGGAATGTCCACTAGGACCTCGAATTGAGCCGTGCTGGTCGACACCTGAAAGGTGACGAAACCATAAAGTGTGATAATGTATAAAATGTGAATAAATTAAAATCTAAAAGTGCTTAAGTACACGAGAGTGTGGTGAGCGGGTCTGGACCCATTTCACGCGTGATACAAAGCATAGGTATAGTATAGTAAGGTAAGATAATGATTATACCATCATAAGAAAACATATGTACTAAAAAGTGCCACGAATCCTCGTCGATACGGAACTCTACTGCTATAACCTGGAGGGGTGCAAAAATAGAAAATGTGAGTGAGTGAAACAGAACTTTTCAAACCAATTTCAATTACCAAAGGCAATAGCTTTTTGCCGTAACACCTGTTTAATTTCCATAAAATTATACTACGTAAAAGTATGAAATCAAACGTATACTAACAGTAAATCCCGAAATCCCGAAATATACCACAATTTAGCATCTTATTAGCAATATAAATAATCATGTGCT